GAGAATTAATATTAATAGTGCATTACTTTTCATTCTACATGATTTTTCAATTTTTATGTTTAACAATAAAAAATATTCGTTACTTTTTCTGCTTTCTTGTTTCTATTTGTATTCGTTGATTTGTTGTTGATTTTTTAATTATTAAAAATTACAATTATCGACAAGAATTAATAATGCATTATTTTTCATTCTGATTTTTCAATTCCCAACGTTGAAACATTTCATAAAAATTCTTAACACCATTTTCTATCTTTCTTTTTTAAAGTTATACTTCTTTTTGTAATTATACATGTTTGAATCTGTGTGTTTGTGTGTATACATGAGATTATAATAATATACGTCATACCACTTGACAAGTTTATCATTTAATTATTACTCTAAGTGGAAATAAAATAACTTTACAGATTTCAATCGATTATTTTACAATTTGCATATACAATATTGCAATCTTGTTTTTTCCTCAAGTAAAATTTTCAAACATGAGACGACACCATATCGCAAACCGTCGCTTTGCAACCCTCCTTGTACGTTTAACTTCACATACAAACATACACATACATTTTAATCTTTCGAGAATACGTGCAAAATGTCAATAAAATGTCACACGTGGACACTTATTGGAGCGTATTTTAAATACACCATATTTTAAATAAACCACGCGTATATAAATTCATATATATATATATATATAAATTATTATCAAGGTTTTCCTTTGACGAGGAACACTTTCACAACATTGATTTTATTTATTATTAGTTATTTATTTTCTACAGTAAACTTTTTCTTTTTTTTACATTTATTGGTTAATTATTTTTAATTAATAGTCCCTTTTGCAAAATTAAATTTCCATTGAAAATATTTTTTAATTTGTTGTCGTGTTTATTCTATTTTTTTCTTCATTTTGTATTACATTTTGTTAAATAAGAACTAAAATATTTGTTGAAAAATTATTTTGGTAATAATGAGAAGAGTATATTCATAAAGAGTATCAAAAACATGAGAGGGTTGGGGGTGGTGGGTGGGTGGATATCATGTTACTTTCATCTAACATAAGGACAGGTCATTTTCAGTATCATTAATCTTAGAAGGATTATAATTAAGGGTAGAAAAGAAAAAAAAAAAATTAACTTTGGTGATTCGATAAAAATTAAATTCTATAAAAAAAAACGAAAGAAAGAATACAAACGTTTCTATTTGAATTATCGTCATCATTATAGTACAAGAAGCAATAAAATAAATTGCAAGTTTAATTGCCCAACGAATCCGATTAGGTTCGGTCAGGAAAACTAAAAGAAAAAAAAAAACTAAAGTTTCTTTAATTACATTAGTAGTAATAGTAATTAATAGTAACGATAATTATTAATGA